ATAAGCTGGGTGCATGTTCAGGTTCCTCCCTCGCTTTTTTATTTTTTTGCTGTTTTGTTGATGGACTTAATAAACAAATAGATAAATAAAAATTCATCTTCCAATCTTTGCCTGCACTTGTAATTTCTGCTGTCCTCTCATCAGGTATCCACTGAAGTCCCAATCCTATAATTACTAATGACGAGTGGGTATCAGTGGTGGTCTAGTTGTCTTTAGGATTGAAGATGGGTCAATCTAGCTTGCAAAATCAATGTTATCATATCCTTTTGATTCGTCCTGTACTCTACATTAATTATGTCAAAAATTAGCGTTGTGCTTCTCAGATGAAATTTTATGTTGCAAGGCTTTAACAATCATAGATTCGTAGTCTTTGATTGGCTGACGTTGTTCTTTGTCCTTAGATTAATACTAAATACTGAAACTTGTTTTTAAGGTGACCAATCACATGGTGAGTGGAGATGGTGGTATTACTAAACCAGCACTTGGTGACAGTTGGAAGAGCCTCCCACATGTGCGGCTTCAGCTTACCCGTGACCACAGCAGCAACATTTGCAAGATGTCCATACTTACACACCCATACATGGTATGTTAAATTGACCTTATTTATCCTGATGTTGAGCACGCATACTCGGTTTTGGTGCATGGCTTTACAACGATCTCTTGTTCTTTCCTGTTTATAATCGAAAGCTAAAACACCTCATTGCACCCTGATTGAAGGGAATAAGAGCACCATCTCCTTGCATAAAACACCACTCCGACTCTATTTCTCATTGGAGCACTCTCATGAGAAGAGTTATGAACTCTCCATATTTAATCACGAGATTTAGGCAATTTATTTTATTTTATTTTATTTTTTATCTGTGAAAATTCAAATGAATCATTTAATACATCTTTCAATTCATTGGTTAAAATGGAGAATTCAAGGTGAGGGAGCTCTCTTGAAAGTGTTACTCTGCTCATTAATTTGTCTTGACATTTATTATATTACTATTCTTATTTTCTCAGGCTTCTGGTAACACGGTGATATTTACGATTTTATGACCTGTCGATTTTAGTTGTTCCAAACAGTTGTAATAGAAAGGAAGTGAAAGAAGGAAAATGTTTAATATACGCAAAACTGTTTTATAATATAAATTAGAATAATAGCACTTATAAATAGTATTTTACTTGAAGTTCAATTTGAATTACAGAGGACATATATTACACTTTGGCATTTTGGTTCAGCTCGAACAATGGATATGATTTGAAGATGGTTCGATTATTTGTTTGTTTTGTTTATGGTAAAGGATAGTATTTTACTAATTGATTGTTCTTTCATCATATTTTGCTACCAACAATAACAACCAAAGCCTTTAATAACACCAACCAATTATTTGGGATCCACTAGATAAATTATGTTTGTGTTTCAATTCGGCTTTATCTAATGTCATGATCTCAGTCTATATTTCTTAAATTAATTGTGGAAGGTTTTCATTTCTGGCTTTAAAATAAAAATATAGTTCAATTGACATATGCTAAATAGAGAATGATCAAACCTGGAGGATGAGAACGATCGAACCTGGAATGGACAATCTAGCTTAAGCATGAATTAAGTCCGTCACACAATGCACGAGAGAGCGGCAAAATTTATGTCACATAGAGTGAGAACGAGAGCAAAAGCGTGCATGAAACTTGAGAGCGGGAGCAACAAAATTCAATTCATACAGAATGAGAACGAGAGCGAAAGTGCACGCATAGCTCAAGAGCAGGAGTGCGCTCGGAGCAAAAGGAACAAGAGAGTGGGAGCGTTGGCAAAATCTAAGTCCCATAGGAATAGGAGCAGAAGCACCCAAGGAACTTAAAAGCAACGCGTGAAACATGAAACCAGCATTCATTTAGAAGAATTGTGTTATTTAGGTAAAAGCATATGTAAATTCATATAAATGCATGCAATTTAAAGTGATCTCGAGCCATTCCTTGAACTTGACCACCTCAACCCCATTTCATGTTCACAATCAAACCAACTGGGCCTGAATAATACCCTTTTTCTTTCCATTTCATTTTCCTCCCTGGCTCCCTGCATTTCCATCCTCGGAAACACAGTGTAAAAGCACTCTTTTCCCGCCAATTTGCAGCTGGTGAATGAAACTTCCATTCCATGATATTTCACGAGCTAAACCAATCAATCAGACACTATCAACCATCATACCTCACCATATTTCACACATTAGTCACATACCTACGCAACCTTATCACACGTTTCGACCCAATAGACCCACCAAAAAACCTCGACATGAAGGACCTCACAGACCCACCTCAAAGGTCCTTCGCAGACCCATACCTTTCGTCAACGACATCAAAGAAGTCGACGATCTAGATGAAGCAGTCGCTCTCTTCCTTCAATACCATCAAACAGGCTTCAAACACGACTACCTGTCATACTCTGCACTCATCTACAAGCTCGCTCGTCGTCACGAATTCGAAGCTGTTCAAACCGTCCTTCGTTGCATTCAAAACTATAACATTCGTTGCAAAGACATCCTTTTATTGCATTGATTCAACGTTATGGGAAGTCCCAATTCCCCGAAAAGGCTGTCCAACTCTTCATCAGATGACTTCTTTCAATTGTGTCCGGACATTGCAGTCCTTCAATGCCCTTCTCAATGTTCTTGTTGACAGTGATCGGTTTCATGATGCCAATGAGATGTTTAAGTGTTCGTCAAAATTGGGTTTTCGCCCAAATTCTGTTTCATTTAATATTATAATCAACGGGTGGCTTAAGAGGGGTGAGTGGGAAAAAGCTTGCCAAGAGTTTGATGAAATGCTTGAGAAAGAGGTAGATGCAACTGTTGTAAATTATAATGGTTTAATTAGGTTTTTGTGTGAAAAGGGTGATGTGGATAGGGCGAAGAGTTTGTTTAAGGACATGACTGTGAAAGGGAAACACCCAAATGCTGTCACATATGCATTGTTGATGAAAGGTTTGTGTTCTCAAGGTAAACATACGGAAGCGAAAAAGATTATGTTTGATATGGAGTATCAAGGGTGTAAATCACGCCTTGTGAATTATGGTATTTTGATGACTGACCTAGGAAAGAGGGGAAAGATTGAGGAAACTAAAGCTTTGCTTCTTGAGATGAGGAAAAGGGGGTTTAAGCTGGATGTTGTTACATACAATATATTGATTAATTATTTGTGCAAGGAAGGTAGAGTTGCTGAGGCTTATAAAGATTTGGTGGAAATGCAGGTTCAAGGTTGTAAACCGAATGCAGCGACATACCGGATGATGGTCGATGGATTTTGTCAAACTGGGGAATTTGAGGAAGGTTTGAAGGTTTTAAATGCAATGCTGATGAGTAAGCACTATCCTCGTTTGGAAACTTTTTGTTGTTTGATTGTGGGTCTAGTGAAGTGTGGGAAGATGGATGATGCTTGCTTTGTTTTGGAGGAGATGCAGAAGAGGGAGATGAGATTTGGTCTGGAGTCTTGGGAAGCTCTGGTTAGGGATGTTTGTAGTGGGGATGGGGGTGCAAGTGGACTTGTAGCTCAACTGGTCTCTGCGCATTAATTGGCTTCAATGGATTCTAAATTGATGGTCCATGGTAACAAGCATTCTAATGTCAAACAAAGCTATCATGAGTGAACGCATTCTGACTGGTTAGCAACCCCTAGTCTTTTTTTTTTATGACATGGGATTCTAGAGCTCAGAGATCCTTCATCAGGGTTTTCCTACTTCATGTTAATGTTTATTGGTGTCTGCATTCTCGTATAAAGCTTTCTAGAGCTGGAATTTAGCCATCCATTTGAGCTGTGAAGGATGAAAGGAGCCTAAAGGGTCCGAGATTGCAGAATTTTGTTACCTTTCTAATTTATTCTCGATTTCATGCCTGGTCTTGAATCAGCACTCTTGTTTAACATTTAAACTTCCTGTGAAGTCAAAGTGGCCCAAATCAATTCTTGGAATTGTGGACTTCAATAGCTGTGTAGTCATGGTCCAAGTTTCAGAGAAATAATAACAAATGAAATATCTAATATGCAAGTGGATATGTTGCTCGATTTGTTGTTTGGGATCATCTGTAATATTACCCATTCGTCGATCAAGATGTGCAAACATAATCATTGAAGTTACAGACTTGTCACTCTTTTCAGCTTTCACCGAATTTGCAATGAGCATTCCTGGAAGCTCAGAACCGTGACTCTGAAAAAGAAAAGAGAAGCGTGTCCAGGTGACCCTTTATATGTAACCAGTTTTGTTATGATTGTTTTAATGCACAGAGTTGAAGATGAACTGTTGCAAAATCTTTTGATAGTGTTCCTCATGATTGATCTGTTGCTTACTTCGCTGTTTATTTGGCAAACTGAAGCTTGGAGCAGTTGCCATCAACTTCGCCAGATTTCCATAGTTAAGGCTCTTCCATCCCTCTTTGTACCTTTTGCATTGTACTTTGAATTTGATGCCATACCATACACCTAGAAAGGTGGTTTAATCTACATGTTTGAAGTTGATCTTCTTCCTATTCTTGGGGTACTGGTGAAGGAAATATGTGATAATAATTGGGTACTGGGTATTATGCACTTTCAGCCTAGTTAATGAGAATTGGAGAGCTTTGGACTTGGTTATGAGAAAGCATACAATACTCGCGTGAGTATTTACACGTGGTACTCTGGTCAATTGACAGTTATCGAAACTCTTAATATGTCTTGATAAGGAGAAATAAGGAATTTTCAAGAAAAAACATGACTGTCAATTAATTAGGGGTACCACATAGTAAATACCACCAGGTATTGCATACTTTTACGTTTTGAAGAACAATGTTTTATGAAATCTATCTAAATTGGTGTTTGAGGTATAAAGAATTGTATTTTATTTTTTATTTTTTAAATCTAATTTCTACCTGAAACATGAAACTTGGGTTTACAAGTGCTAACCAACACACCCAAAGTGGGAAATTCAAATACCTACTCCATCTCATCAACTCCATCTTATTTTCCTGATCTTTGGCTGTTGAGTTCACAGAATATATTTCTACATAAACAAACATCCATAACCCATCATCACCATAACAAGGAAAACATTCTCATTCGCTTTGTAGTACTCAAAAAGAGCTCCTCGTTCTCTTCTCACAGTCATGGCAAACAATGCCCTCGAGGGCGTACTCTCCCCGATTCTCTTGGCCCTCGTTATCATATCAGCAACATCGGCCCAAATCCTTCCCACCACCGCACCTGCAGCACCTGGTTCAGCGGGACGCCTGTTTCACCTGGTTCAGTCGGGACACCTATTTTGAGTGTAACTGCTACTCCTGACCATGGATTGTCCTTCTTCATGCATGACATACTAGGCGGGTCGAACCCCTCAACTAGAGCTGTGACTGGGATCGTGACCAATCCGGCTGTCAGCGGTCAAGTCCCATTTGCCAAGCCTAATGGTGCTGTCCTCCCAGTTAACAATGGTGTCCCTATCAATAATGGCAACAGTGGGATCATCAACAATAACAACATCCCATTTCTCACTGGCCTTGGTGGAAGCACGTCAAATGTGATTCAAAACAATGGTAACAACGATATCAACGGAGGATCAAGGTTTCCAATTCTGAATGGTGGCCAACTGCCTGCAGGGAGTACCATTCAAAAGCTTATGTTCGGGACAATGACAGTTTTCGACGATGAGCTCACTGAAGGGCATGAGCTCGGGTCGGGTTTGGTGGGCAAGGCACAAGGGTTCTATGTAGCAAGTTCAGAGGATGGAAGCAGCCAGGCCATGGCCTTCACCGCCATGTTTGTGAGTGGGAGTTACGTCGATAGCCTCAGTTTCTTCGGTGTCCATAGGACTGCTGCCTCGGAGTCCCAACTTGCCATCATGGGTGGTACAGGAAAGTATGTGAATGCTAAGGGCTTTGCCACAGTGAAGACGTTTCCAGCTACAAACCAGCACAACACTGATGGGGTTGAGACTCTGCTGCAGATTTTTGTGCATCTTACTTATTAGTACTTACGGGCTATGTACGTACAGTTCCTATAGAACCTATCACTAAAATACCCCTAGAGGGGGATAAGGCTAAGCGGAGCGGAAAGGGTTTTCCATGAGACGGGAAATGAAAGCTGAAATCTGTGTGTGAAAAATGTGATACCAAAAAGGTTTGTGTTTATAAAAGTTTGTTTCAATCTGATTATGAGAATCTTCAGCAAGAATTACATGCGACAAAGTTGATTTTAAATCAATTTTATTGTCATTGTCATGACATGTACGCCATTTCGTGTGGCTATTAAGCCCCTGGATTATAGTTCACCCAAAATAAATTACCTAATAAGATAAGCCGTTTTTAGATGATTGACCCGAACCATGTTATGATTTCTTTTCACGGGTGTGCCAAAATGTATGAGAATAAAATTTTAATCTTAATTTGTAGACGGAACGCAAGTCGTAAATTCGGACAAGTCACAAAGCAAAATCAAAATCTATCCATTTGTGCCTGACCACCATGACCAGTAAACCGGACTACTTACTTCAAGTTTGTTTCTGAGGTCTGTATTCTCTCAAGTTCGGTAAACAGTCTTCATCGTCTTCTTCAGTTGGACCGATCAGTACGTGCAATACATTCGCATTATGTTTATCGACAATACAGAGTACAAGTTGCCTTAAAATCAAGATCAAGCATAGGGTCAATACGCCAAGTGGTGAGTATTTACTACAATTTTTAATTCTTATAATCGTACATTGTTCAAACTCTGTTCAGCGAGGATGTAATTTGTAGTTAGACGATGCACTCAGTTGGTCGAAGATGTAATTTGTTAAATCAACTACACTAAATAAAAGGACAAAATTAAGAAGGGACCAAAATAAAGTAGACCAGACCACATTATGAAGTAGTGCAAAAAGCAAAAACCGTATCAACCTAAATGTAAATCAATGTTTATATAGAATTTTCAAATATCTAGAAAGGAGGTTTGGTAGTATTCTAAATAAAGTAAGAAGTTTGAACAGAATCAAACACTCGGAAAGAATTCTATTTTGGTAATTTGAAGAACATACCATGTAAATATACTCTGAGAAACAACTTTCTAAAGAATTGTTGATACCTTATTTTTTTTAGTTGGCACTCACAATTTGGTGCATTGTGTTGAGGCTTCTCTGCACTGTACGTCCTCATCAGACTAAAGACATTGCTCAGCATTAGTAGTTTTGTTACATTGACTCTTCCGTAAAATCAACTTCCAACACAAATAAAAATTCAAATTTAGCGGTTGGGCAGTCACAGACTCACATTCATGGTCATTTTTAATCTTTTGTTGGAGGGAATTGACCCAATCCAACTGTCCAAATATTAAGCTAATATATTCATTTACTTACCCAAAAAATAATAATAATAATAATAAAGCTAATATAACATTAAATAATAATAGGATAGTCAACTCAATAATATAACTCTAGGTCTCTTTAATAAAAAATAAATAAAAAAAGGAAAGACTTCTAGACTTTTAATTTCGATGGAAAAGACCGGTCAGCTGTAGTTAGAGCACCAAAAATTTAGTATTTCTTATCACAATCTTTTAAAAGAAAAAGAAAAAGGAAAGAGTATGGGACTTCTCAGTTCAATAATAATAATAATAGAAAAATGAAATTATATTTTCTGTTAATTAAACTCATTTTGGATGTCTTTTAGTTAGAGAGTTTAACTTCTTATAAAATAAAATAATTTAGAAAATAAAAACTATTTAAAAAATAAATAAATTTAAAACCTTCAACCAACAAAATTTTTTATTTCTATCTGATTTTCATTTCACATGTAAAGAGTTGTTTTTTAAAAATTGAACCAAATATCTTTTGCTTTGAAATGTTACTAAATCACAAGCCTTAGTTGTCATAAGGGACTTGAATCATCAACTTCTCCTGCATAAATGAAACACCACTCTAGCTAATATACATATTCAAAATGAAATTCAATTTTTATGTGACTAAAATAAAGAAAAAGATTTTAAACTTCAAATTTAGTTTAGTAATTCTAAAATCCGAAAAATATGACCATTTTTCATAACTATTTAATAACCATTCTGTCAATTTCAAGCAATATAAATCTCATTTAAAAATATTAATCCCATTATAACCTGTAATTCGAAATACAATTGTTAGTTGGAAAAAAATATATATATACAATTGTTAGTGATTATTAGTTCCGTCCTTATTTTTTCATTATAAATGAATTGTCGGTTTGCCCTTATCAGTTGTTAAATATATATATGTGTGTGTGTGTACACTTTTCTTCTTTTTTTCCTTGTCTTTGTTGATGATGAAATAGGCTATTCACATAAGAGCAACGCTATTCACTGTGAAAAAGCGACACCAACTTTGAGAACAATCGTTGTGAGGCGCTACAGCTGCACCATGCGGTTATGTTGGCCCCACATCTACTCTCGCACTCGGTGTCGCTTCTTGAATGGAGTTTTCCATTACAAAATGGGGAGCTCTAAAGGTCACTTGTTGAATCAAGTTTTCGATCACAAAATGATGAGTTCAACATGTTATGCTAGGTGAGTCTTGACCTAGTCGAACGGACTCAGATAAATTTACACTTGTCTAAATCTACGTCATATTTTATTTATAGAAAAAAAATGCATTTTATTTGATACAATTGATGCCTATGTGAATAGTCGATTGTATTGATCGGTGGGTTTTATAAATATTAAATACCCATAATATTCTACCTATTAATGGATTGAATTTTGATCCGAATCCATTAAAATCTAAGCTAATAAATATATAAATTGGAACATTCAATTTGTGATAATGATCCAAATTCGATAACACAAACTGGATATGGAAATTCGATAACAATCCAATTCAATATAATATAATATAGTATAAATATATTATATAATGCTATAATACATATATTATCATTTCTTAATTCTTCTTCTTTTTTCTCTCTATTTTGTCTCTCTTTAGTGTTTTTTATTTAAAAAAAAGTCAAATACCCATTTTTCTACTATGTTTTTTTATATTTTATTTTCTTCTCTAGTTTTTCTCTCTCTCTTTTTTTTCTTCCAAATGAATGTTTTTTTCCAAATTTTTTTAACAAAAAAATTGTATTTTTTCAACAAAAAAATTGTATTTTTTCAGGATTTTCAAATATTAACAAAATCGTATATGAGGATTTAATACTAAATAATCCATCCATTTACTGGCCTTACTCACATCCATCCATGGATGCTGACATGTCAAAATTAGAGCTCTGTAGACCAGTTTTAACTGGGTCCTAACCGTAGAGGATAATTACCCTATTCATTTCTAAGTTCTAACGTCAATTTCGCACAACCCGCCACAATTCTCAAATTTGCCAGTGAAATCGAAATGTGTGTGTGTATGTAATATGTATACATGTCTGTATATAGGAGTATGTGTATAGTTTAGAGAGAGAAAAGAGAGAGAGATGGCACCATTAAAATCTCTGGAGCACGAGTTCCCAATAATAGACTTCAATTTCCAGCAATTCTGTGCTTCTCACGACATCTTCTCAGGTCTACTTTCTCTCTCCATTTCCTTTCCGTCCTCATTTTTCTCCAGAAAATGATTGTTTCTTGAATAACACTTTGAGAGTACTTAGTTCAATAAGAGGTCCCCAATCATGATTGCTTGTTAGAATCATCTTCATCGTATGATTAATGATTGTGCGTTTTGCATCAATTTGCTGGTTTTATTTTTTGCTTTCCTTTTTAACTGGTTTGTGTTGTTTTTCTTTGAATTCTCTGTTTGGTTGTGGAGTTAGTGTAAAAAAGAAAGAAAATAATGCATATATGATAACTTATATTTTCTTTCATTTGTTGGGACTTTAAAGGACAAATAACCTAGAAACAAGGAACAACAATTTGGCTAGCTGAATTCAGCTTTTAATTGTTTGGAAGACAAAACAACATCAATGTTAAGAATTAAAGAATTTGAGTTGTACCATGTGATTTGAGTTAACTAGTGTTTTGAGTGAGACGGACGGGAAATTGTATTCCTGGTTGTAGTTGATAGTTAACACTTGGTGGATATAAGATGATTGTGAAACAACCTTAGATTAGGCTATGGTTCAAGAATGGTTGTATCGACGACGCCTTATAGGTTTCATGTGGTGCCTTTTGGGTGGGGATTTTGGTACCTAGTTTAAAAAGTAATGGGTCAGTGAATTTCTTGGCATTCAACATTGAAACGTTGTGTTTCTTATAGATAACGTTTTTAATTAATGATTGTGTTCTATATGAAAGACTTGATTCGCCTCTAACAAGGTTACAGAGATAAGTTACATTGCGGATAATTCAATTTTGTTTAAAGTTAGATGGTAGATGGTGGTAGTCGGATTGAGAAACTAGAGAGTAAATGGTTTTTGATGTGCCTAAGAACTAGGAATCATCTCATAACGTGTTTCACTATACATTATTGATTAAAAAAAAAAAAGAAAAAAAAGAAAAAAGAAAGCAGCAGAAATTGTGTTTCGAAAGTAAAACCCAAATGTGTCTTAACAAGAATCTACTACCACAAAAATTGACTTATTTGTTTATCTCTCAAAGTTATAAGTTTGAGAAATTCAAGGTTTGTTTTCCATTATACCTGAAGTGTTGTATAAAATAATCTTCTTTGTATAACTGAATAAATAGTATAGGGTTGATGTGCAGTAAACATTTCATTAGATTGTTCCCTCTACTGAACACAGCCACTTTAAAGTTGTTAATTTCAATAGGCCTATTTACTCAAATTATTGACTATTATATCAACATTCCATCCCTTGGTTTTTAATGCAGTATTGGTTAGTAGCGGTTGTATTGTAATGGTATAAGGGGTATTGATCAATGCTTAACATTAGTGGGTTATTGAAGAAGTGAATATATTCTTTTTTTTAGCAAATCCTGAAGACTAACTAATATGCATATAGCAATCTCGGTGTGCTATAAATTTCAATGTTCTTGATTTTTTTTTTCTCTTCTTGTATTGAATTCTAAATCAAGTGTCAGTAAAACTCCACTAGTTGGTTTCTGAGTGATGTTACAATAAAAATCTATTATTAAACTCTTCACTAGTTATCATGATTCATGGGAAAAAATTACAGTTGAAATTCTGACCATAACATCCCAAAACAGTTGCTACGTCTGTAAAGGTGATGGGGTTTTATGATGATATTACATAACAGCAGCATTATGGTGTGAACCAAA